TCGTTCCTCCAGAATAGTGATAGGAGCATGTTTCAGGTCATTTGTAGTCTTGGTGGTGGTGGTTTATATGTGTGTGTGTGTGTGTGTGTGTGTGTGTGTGTGTGTGTGTGTGTGTGCAAGTAGCATGCCTTTATGTGAGATTGTGAAACAAGCAATTTGCCCCTTTTATAAAAATGTCCTGCATTCATGGAGACAGCTGCCTACAGCAAATTCCATTCCTGCATGGGGGTTTTTAAGGCCTGACAAGCTCAACCTCGCTGTAATTCGGCTAATTAGTCCATTTAGATGCCGTTACTGTCTGCCAGGCAGGGCCACGAGACAGCCCTACCTCTGTCTACAGCTGCCCGAGACAAAAAGCTTTTCATCGCCTGTCATCTCCTCACTCAGACCTTGCACTCAGAGGCACAGTGAGAGTCGAAACCAGTATTGCGAGGTTGTAAATTTAGGTGTGGAGTTCAATCACTCACCAGAAAACTGGATTTCTGCCAGACGTCTGAACAAAGTGCGACCCCCCCCCAGCCTCCCTATTGTGTCCTGTGTATTCTCTGTGCAAAAATGATTTCTCTTGTTGCTCTTTAGTCATTTTCCAAATTTTCTGCAACATCAATAAACATGGCAAAGCTTGGTGTTTATCAACTCGAGCTCTTTCCCACATGAGAGGACTGAGATGCTCTGATTTTGTTGTTTTACACGATATCAGCGGAGCGCGCATGAGACGATCTGCTCTGGTGACTCTGGTTGTCAGATCTCTGCCACTCACCCCTTGCAGCATCTCGGTGAGCTCTCTTCTCCGGTTGCGGCACTTGGCGGCGGCCAACTTATTCCTCTCACGCCTCACCCTCCTCTTTTCCTCTTCCTCCGGAGTGAGCTGAGGGCGAGAAAAGAAGAAGCACAACAGGTTAAAATAGGCTGTTTGAAAAAATATTTAAGTGAGGAGCAAGAATGTAAACAAGAGCTGGGTGATTCTATGGCAGACTGTGAGCAGAATAACAATCAAAGAAAGAGTTTAATGGTAAAGTAAAATGGACATAATGATAAACATGTTTATTCTCTGATTTTAAATGATTATTAAAGGTGTTTTGCTTTGTTCTCAGAGCAAACACTCTTCAGCAAAAGCTAAAGGAATAAATTCACATCAAATTCTGTCATCCCAGGTCTCTCACCTGCTCGTCCCGCTTACGCCGGCCTCTGGCATCCCCGATGGAGCGGATGACCCCGGGCCGAGCCAGTGTGTTGTGCCCCAGGAGCCCTGGCCCGTTGGTCAGGTGATGGCCGTACGGGTGGGTGCGGGAATAAGGATTGGACATGGAGGTGATGACGGTGGGCTGCACCATCCACTGCAGGTCCTGGCTGGTTGTGATTGCATTGATGGTGGGTATGAAGGCACTGTTGGAGCCGGGCATGTCAACCCTGTACTTCTGCAACGAGAAGGGACGAGGCAAACAGGATGAAGAATGATGAAAGAACATTTTCCAGAGAAGTGGGTTGGCAGCCACATCGAGAGGAGCAAGCCTATTATGCCGGCAAGGTGTCAGTGGATACAAGGACAACTACCTCACTATAAGCACTGTAGTTTGTATATGTGAAGCCCTGCTCCACTTCACTGGCAGCACAATCGCACACACACACCCACCATTATTAAATTCACACTTTCTCCACATTTCAAGCAAATAGTCGTGATTCAATCCACGCAGGCCAAATGCTGTGTTTGTCTCTGTGTGTACCCATAGAGTGGAACAGTGACACATGCTGTGAATCATGGGAAAGCCCAAGGTGTCCATTGCATCTCACTTTACTAACATAACGGGAGACAAATCAAATGAACGGGGGAAGTCATGTCTGAACTGTGAGGGGGGGACAATTTAATATTATTTTAATAAAATAACATTTAAAAAAAATAATCTATTGTTGCATCACAAGGATGCACAATGGTTGCTGCTCATCCAGAAACATGCATATGAATCCAGCACTAACCCCTAATATAGAAAGATTCATGATCTTTTTCAAATAATAAGAAATGTGAATGTATAATAATCTACAGCCTGTAAGTACGTGGGTGAAACATGTTTGCATAATAATCAGCAGTGTGAGCAGCGGTGTCAGGTCAGTATTACTTCATGTCTCTGGACTCCACAAACAGTCTGCATTCCTGTGCGCGTAATTTACGCGCACCCCCATATCCCCCGTTATTCCCGATTTTCCGTCGGACATCCTGGAGGTCCGTTGGAACTTTGTTTATCTGGTGAGTCATTGTGTACGGGATTCGTCAAGCACATGCGGAACGCAGTCAGTTCCAGTAAAGAGGGAAAACAGCCAGCTGTAACAAGCCAGCCAGAGTTATGTGAGCGTTTTTTTAGGAGAGAGCTTGGCTTGAAATGTCCCTGTAAGTGAAAACAACGCGTTGATACATTTTACGCAGTGAAGAGTAAAGACATAAACATTCAGAACAATCGATGAGGAACTTCTTGGTCTCATAAAAACCCTGTGGGTGCAATAAAACAAAAGGATAAAAAAAGGCTTGATATGTCTCCATAAAGCGCACAGAGAGGCCAGGCCTGCCTCCCGCTGTAATGGGAAACAGCCAGTGTGTGATTACAGGGAACCAGAGAGATACGGGCCAAAAGTCGTTTTACCGTAATGTTGCGTGAGCCTGGTGGGGCTTTTCCACAGAACTGTGCTCTCTACGCAAGACTTGGCTGCGGGTTAATACACTACTTCCTGGATTCAGATCCTATAATTTGTGAATACAAGGACACGGCGCGCTCATAACCTCACACTGACATAGCGACTGTATGTGTAGTGTAAATCTCACAGGGTGTATAAAAGCACATTTTGATGGAATCGACGAGATGAATAGCAGGGATTAGCGTTTAAAGCGCAAATGTTCGCATTTCCTCGGTTACAGGAGGCTTCAGATGGCCCCGAGCTCCTTGTGCGTGCGCGCAGCCCGCCGAAGGTGACGAGCCAAGCGCAACCCGAGACCCGACTGATCAAATTTTATCTATAACCAAGTTATTCCCTATAGCCCAATAAGAGAAATGTCTGACACAAATACCAACTTTATCTGAACTCTGCAGCGACGCATGCCTCCGGTGGATGTCCAGAACACCTGGCCAAGAAAATGTAGACATCTCCAAATCCGTGCGTTGCATCTTCACCATATAAGCTTCAGCTCTGCCCAGTTTAAGTGCAGGTCAGTGTGTCGTATGTGCAGTATCTACTCTAGAGATTTATAGTCGTTGTCATGTGTGCGCGTAAAATGCGCCTCCGGTGGTGCCAGAGACGAGATGATATGGTTTTACGCACGGATTGGAAAGATGGCAGGCATTCTAGGCTTTTCAGTGTGTCCACACACACTAACATGTGCCAGTGTGGTTTATGACATACACACTGTTGCCACATTAGGGACAGATTCAAGAATACATGTTTTCATCAACTGATACACGCATGGGTTCGTCATTTACTTTACGTACTAGCTTGTGTATACATTTCTGATCTGACTGTGTTGGAGATAACTCATGACATAATTCAAATGGTGTGAGTCCAAAATACTTGTGTTCAGATCCAGAGTATTGCGTTTGTTCTGAGTCACCGTTTCTATCTGTGTCAATGAGTTCATGCGTATTTTTCTCCCCAAACGACCTGGAGTAGTCAGAATTAGTGAAAGCTCTGACGCACGATTGAATAAATATTTAGGTTAAAACTTCATGTATTTCTCAGAGGTTCCGCAACTCAAGTTAATTTCAAAACATCAAAATATTACCTCCACCGCGCTTGCTTGATTTTTTTTTTTTACCTGGTAGTTTGAGGTAGAGATCGGACTTCCGATCGTGCTGCTGCCGCTCGTGAATGACTCTGGCTGGGCCGGAGAGGTGCTGCTGCTGCCGCGGGACGAGGTGTCGTAGTTCCCGGAGTAGTCCTGGTACATGATCCAGGAAAGAGGAAGATTTCAGTAGACGATCTGAACTGCGAAACTTTTTTCCTTTCTTAAAATCCTCGCAGATTTTTTTTTTTTAAAAAGGCACCAGCAGAAAAATTTAAAAAAAAATCTTGTTATTTGAGGAAATCCAGAGAAGAGTTGGCAAAGTGCAATAATGCTCCGATAAACTAGAACCTATAACATCTTATAGAGAGTGCAGCTCAGAATAGGTATTGTCTGTTATATACTTCTTCTTGTTATTGTGCTTGAGCCGCAGGTAAACCTACACTAAAGATCCTCTCAGGTGCGCAAACTTCAGCCTGAAGTCAGTAGCTCAGCCTCAGCTGTCAGATCCAAGTGAACCTGGAGTTACAGCAGTGACTCACATTAACCTTCGCTTTAAAGCCTATAGCCTGTCTGACCTCTGAGGGTTTTCCGTCCTCTTACCTACTTCTTTCTATCTATCTGCCGCTCACGGAACACTTCGAAGTTTTTTTTCTCTCTCTCTCTCTCTCTCCTTCTTTTCCTTTTCACCGCACTGCCCAGAGATGACTCACTTCAATGGCACTATGAAGAACTGCAACGGCTTTTCAACACCAACGACACAGCCTACGTCACGCCTGGGCGTTGCGACTCCGACCGAGGGAGGGGTCGCGTCTGGATAAGGCAGCGAAAAGGAGAGATCCGCCGCGTCCGCGCGTCCCGAGGAGCGCACCGGGGATGTAAAAGGGAAAAGTGAGGATTCGGTGAAAGTGTCAGGAGCGCGTCTGGAGATGTGCGGGTGTGTGTTGTGCACGGAGCTGTGCGCGGTGCTCGCTGTTTGTCTCACTTGCTTCGGTCCATTGACGCATGTTTCCTGAAATGGGCAGTTGCGTCAGAGCGCGCGTGTGGGTTTCCTTGGTAAAAAAGGAGCGTCACACACGGGAGGGATTCCCTCCCCTCACAGCGAGCACTGGTCCCGGTCCGGTTCTCTGATCAGCTGCAGGAAAACAGAGGAAGGTATAGAGAGATATAGATAACACACACACACACGTTTGCACGACTTCAGAGGACATACATTGCTTTTCCCTAACCATAACCATATATTTGCCTAATCTTAAAATCAACCTAAACATAACCCTAAACCTTAACCTAAACATAAACCTTAACCTAAACATAAACCTTAACCTAAACATAA